CCAGAGCCTACAAATTCTATTTCAAGCACACACATGTACGGAATGCAGATGTGGGGATGAAAACCAGGCCCTTTGGGGGAGTGAGGCCATGATACTGAACCAAGGCCATAAAGTGGCTGTTCTGTAGTGGCCTCGCCCAGGGCTTGTTTGGGACCCAGACCTCAAGAGTGTTTTTGGCATTTTGATATGGCACTCACTAGACCACGAGACAGTCATCATACTGCTCATTTGGGGCAGAACATTGCACAACCTGTGATCAGATAGGCTCAGATTTTCTCTGTAGTCTAAGGAATGTGTGACCACATAGAGAGACTGGAAATCTGTCCCCCTCAGGAAGTTGAGGACTTAAACTGTGATGCACAGAGAGGAGGAATGGAGCTGCTCATGCTTGACAAAAAGATGACCCAGGACAAGGTAGCACAAGTGTACAGACCAGAAGCTACAAGGCTGAGCACACCATCTAAAAGACACTTTTACAGTTCACATAGTCCCTTACCCAAAGTTCCTTTTAGATGACTAATAATTTATAAAGACCCAATGATAGGGGCTGAGGGGATGGCTCTTGGTTAAGCAGTTGGCACCCAAATGTGGGGACTAGAGTTCAGAACCTCAGAATACATGTAAATTTATAGCACACAGGCCAGCACCATGTTGGTGAGCTCTGGGCCCTGCCTCAACAAGTAAGAAAGAACAATTTGGGATGATTTCCCCACATAACATCAGACCTCCATGTACATACACACATGCTCACACACATGCAAAAGCATTCATATACACATGGAAAGAGGAAAAAGTAAAGTGGAACTTAAAATATAATAAGTACTTTCATAGATATAAAGAACAATAACAAAAACAAACTTTAAAAATCTCTACTCTTAGGGCTGGAGAGACTGCTCGGTGGTTGAGAGCATTCCCTGCTCTTGCAGAGGACCCAGATTCAGTTCCCAGCACCCATGGCAGATCACAGCCATCTGTAACTCTAGTTCCAGGGAGTCTGACGCCTTCTTCCTGCCTGTATGGCATGTGTGTGCTGCACAGAAACTCATTCAGGTATACACACTTACACAAAACATGATAAATAAATCTTTGTTAAAAACTCTAATGAGCTTTATTCTCTCTAAAAATACACCAGTAGACAGTATCAAGAATTAAAATAAGAATTTGTCATACATGTTGAAAAATGTTAAGGAGCAAAATGAAAGCAAGGACGGGGCGTGGGATAATAAGAAAGTGGGTATCCGTTCTAGGTAAGGTATCCAGGGAAGCCCTCAGAAAGAAAGCGACTGTAACAGAGACCCGCCCGGTGTCATGGAGGGTAGGCTTGGGTTAGAAATGTGTTTTCACCAGGTGTCCAGAGGTGCTGCTCCTCTCTGGCTCCTGGCTGATGTTGAGAGAGCCACCAAGCTAAGGTCTTTCTGGTGCCTGGTACTTCCTCAGCGACTCCCTCCCCCCCACCTCTAGGCGCTCCTGGACTTTCTGTTTCCCATCATCTGCAGGGTCTGAATGACAAGGCTGGGTGTGTTGTTGGCTTTTCCAGCAGCCTTTCAACGTGCAGCCTCATGTTCCTTAGTTTGAGGGAGAGGCAAGCCTCATCTGTTTCTGGAAACCGTGTTTCTTTTTCCTGCTTTCTTTTACCCAACCCCCTTTTCTAGGAAGGGGGATAACCTGATGCATTCTTGAATCTTCTTCCTGCCCCTCCCCCTTTCTTATCCTCAGTCTCACTTGACTTTCTCAGAGTTCATCACTTTTCTTTTTCGTTGAATTTTTTATTGCTGCTCAGTGGTTTTCAGAGCTTCTTCTTGTTCTCTGAGTGTTCCCTGTCCCTGAACTGTCTTGTTTCTTCTGAGTCTCTGCTCCCTGCTTACTTTAGTCTGTTCTTTCATGTTAAGATTTCACAAAATGTCTGAAAATGCTTGAAAGTCTGTTGGTGTGTGATACACAGTGAAACCCAATGATGGGTTGTTTTTTTTTTTAAGGATTGTATTCACTTATTTACTTTGTGTGTGTGTGTGTGTGTGTGTGTGTGTGTGCCTGAGTGTATGCTTGTGCAGTATATGCATGCAGGTGCCCACGGAGACCAGAAGAGGGCATCAGATCCTTGGAATTAGAGTTACACCCTATTGTGAGCTACCAATGTGAGTGCTGGCAACTGAACCTGGGGCCTCTGCAAGAGTAGCAGTGCTCGTAACCACTGAGCCATCTCTCCAGGCACCTGATGACAGTGTTTATACATGGTAACTCACATGGCCATCTCACTATAAGATTACTGGGCAGAATCTGAGAATCTCCTTCAAAAACCTAAGTCTCTTCCCTGAGCCGTTCGCCTTTCTAGGGGATTCCTCTGGTTCCCAGGCTAAGGTTCCAGCCTCTTAGCGTTGTCCATTATGTCTGATCAGCGAAAGTCCAATCTTTGATTAAGCTCTTCAGTCTTCTAAAGTGGACACAATTCCTTAGCTGAGTAGGGTGGAAGGTAGAGATGGATACCTGTCTGCACCCCTGAGAAAAAGACAAGCTGAACCAAACCTCATTTGCAGCTCTGCGTGCCCACCGTCCAAGGGATCTGGCACTCATATTTTAGTTCTTTGGTCCTGAGCACTTGATAGTGAGTTCTACCCTTGAATTTCAGTGTCAGTTCTCTCTCATCTGTACTGTTTTCTCTTCCCCCTCCTTGAACCAACCCCCTCTCTGTTTCTTCTAGTTCTTTGATGTTTGCTTTTCAGCATCTTTGATTTAATGTTTTAGTATCTATTTCCAAATTGCAAGTAAAGGCAAGTGTGTTCGTTTCTTTTCTGTTGCTGTGATAAAATGCAACTTAAGGGAGAAAGGGTTTGTTTTGGCATGTGGTTCCAGAGGAATAGAGCCCATCATGACAGGGGAAACATGATGATAGGAAGCCATGATGGTAGGAGCCCAAAGCTGGCTGGTCACATCTCATCTGTATTCAGGAATACAGAGAGAGAACAGCAAATGGGACCAAGCTATAAAACCTCCGAGCTCACCCCCAATGACACACTACCTCTAGCAAGATTCCAATTCCTAAAGGTTCTGCAACTGTCCCAAATAGTTCCACCAGCCGGAGAATGAGTGTTGAAGCATATGGGCCTATGGGACCCGTATATATAATACTGAATATATTCAGACCACAACAGTAAGCTTGTTGGCTTGAGACAACTACAGTCACTTATTTGTTTAGGACTCTGCAGTTACAGTGTTTATTGGTGGGGACATGCCATTTCTGTCACCAAGCCTGGGCAGTCCATGCCCAAGATGTTTAGCCAATGTCCTAGCTGTGGAAAAAGTACATTACTGGAACAGCCAGGCAGGGCTCCAGTTCCTCTGCATGTGGCCTCTTCTTGGGTCTAGGTTGGAGTCCTCAAATTTGGGTTCTGAGAGGAAACATTCTAAAACCCAGTTCATCAAGAAGACCAAGTCCAGTGTGCAAGCGATATCATCATTTTGCATGACACTGGCTAATGTCTTATGGCCAGAGCAAGTCACATAGCTGAATACTAAGAAATTTGACTTATTGGGCTCATAACCCCTTAGGACTCTGACATCCTATGATAGTGCTTGTGGTTTTCCTTTCTGTAACAAGCTTGTTCCATTTTATTTCTTGTGTTTTAAGGTGCTGGACTCTTCTTTAAGGGAATTTAAAGTGTTATAAACATTCAATAGTTACACATTAAAACCACAGGAATGGGGGCTGGCGAAATGGCTCAGCAGTTAAGAGCACTGTCTGCTCTTGCAGAGGACATAGGTTTGATTCCCAGCACCCACATGGCAGCTACAAACTGTCCTTAACTCCAGTTCCAGGGGAATCCGAAGCCCTCTTCTGACCTCCGCAGCATTGCGCAGCACAGGTGCACTCACATACATGCAGGCAATACACTCGTACACATAAAATAAAAAAATACTAAATAAAGTATTTTTTAAAAACTGCAGGAATGTGGTAGCTTTTCCAATGAAGTACAAAGATGGGCTCTATAGTTGATATATTACTATAAAGAGTGTATTATTAAAGACATGGTAAAAATGGCCCTACAGTTTCAGAGTCTTAAATATACATTTTGATGTCATTATGTATTGCCTTTTATTAGAGGTAGTAGAGGTTAGAGCCTCATTCTTTTGATTCTAAAACAGAGGAAAAGCGATATTTTTGTTTGTTTATCTATTGTTATGTGTATGAGTGTTTCCCCTGTGTGTATGTATGTGTCCTAGTTTGTTCTCCATTGCTGTGAAAAAACACTCTGACCAATACCAACTTGGGGAGGAAAGGATTTATTCATCTTACATCTCCCAGGTGGTGTGGTTCATCAGGGAGCCCAAGATAGGAACTCAGGGCTGGAACCCTGAAACAGGAGCTGGAACACAGGCCATGGAGGAATGCTGCTTACTGGCTTGCTCCCCTGGCCCCTGCTCAGCCTGCTTTCTTATGCAACACAGGCCCACCTGCCCAAGGGTGGCACCACCAACAGTGGGCTGGGCCCTCCCACATTACTCATCAAGAAGATGCCCTTCAGACATGGCCACAAGCCAGTCCAACAGAGGAAATTCCCCAATTGAGGCTCCCTCAACCCAGGTGTGTCAAGTTGACACTAAAGCTATCCAGCACAGTATGTAAGTGTACCACATGTGTACAGTGTTCATAGCCTCCAGAAGAGGGTGTTGGATCCCTTGGACTGGAGCTACAGATGATTGTTAGCTGCCATGTGGATGCTGGGCTCTTTGCAAGAGCTGCCAGTGTTCTTAGCCACTGAGTCATATCTCCAGCTCCAAAAAGTAATCTGTTTAACACTTACCTCGACTCCAGGGAATCAAAGTGGGTACTTGTGCCATTACCAAATAGTGCATTCCTTGGAAACTCCAAATGAGCACCCTTTTATTGCTAGCCTTTCAAGTTTGTCCTGAACATCTACAACTGCAGTGTGATAGACGTAGCTTAGCTGGTGTCTGGTGCGTCTTCATCTGTGGCTGGTAACTCTGTGTTCCTTTGTATGCAGGGGTTCTCTATCTACAGTATGGAGATGAAACCAAGCAGCTCCGGATGCCCAATGAAATCACAAGTGCAGACACGATCCGCGCTCTCTTTGTAAGTGCCTTTCCACAGCAGCTCACCATGAAAATGCTGGACTCACCCAGTGTTGCCATCTACATCAAAGATGAGAGCAGAAATGTCTATTATGAATTAAACGATGTGAGGTAAGTCGTCACCTTCCGATGGTTGCCTGTAGTGTTTGTTTCTCTCTACCCTGTTATGACTAGCAAGTACTCGACCACTGTTAGATTGCTAGAGTGTGCTCAGTCTTAATGTCTCCTCATGCCAGGGTTCTGTAAAAGCCCAGGTATTGTGTTTGACAGCACATAGCTGTGAATTCATTCTCTTGATTTCCTGTAGTTCATGTACAAAGTTTAAAAAGGTAAGGACAGACTTCTTTTGCATATATTTTGAATTTTACACTAGATCTTTCTATATCATATCTGCAAAGATCATAAGAAATGATTCAGCACAGCATTTGATCTAGGGGTTAAGATAGCTGAAGCCCAGAGAAGTGATGGAGAGAATTGAAAGAATTCTTAGCACTGAACTTTCCAGACTCACAAGTACTCTTTCTCCATAGAGAGGGCTTGTAGGTGTTTTAGTAAGATCCTCTTGGGTCTTCAATAAAAGTAATAGACTGCTATTGCCCACAGAAAAGGCTGAGAAACAGCCTCATGCTGCATTTCTTGAAGGGTTGTCCTTTACCCAAGGATCTCACTTTCAAGGTAGCTCTTTCCTTCAATGCGTGGTTGAATGCATGTGAGTGCAAGCATCAGGAAAACAAAAGCCTTGTCATTAACTGCAGCAATGTGGTCTATAGAATGGAGGGACCCTTCTGATCTGTCCCAGACAGACAACCTAGAAACAGGATTTAAATCCATAATAAACAAGTAGTTGCTGGTATAACCTCTAAATGTTTTAGAAGTCAAACAATTATTTAGTGAGTAATCCACTTCTTTCGTTTTATGGAACTAGAAATTCAGATGTATCAAAGTTAAGAGTCTTATTTAAGAGCAGACAGCCCCTAAAGAACGAGGTTCAATCATCTCCCCCAGGCTGGCTGTTCACATTCTCAGCCAAATCAGGAGGAGCAGGACTTGGGCTCCCCACCCTGCGGGATGGCAGGCTCTCCTGTTTCTTCACTATGGAAATAACAAGTAAAAATGTGCCTGCAGAACACAAACGCAAGCTGATCCATATCTAACAGTGATCCCAGATGATGTATGGAGCCATGCGCCAAGGGGCATGAATGATGTAGAGCTCTCAAAGTTTGACGCACGCCCTAAGGTGTAGGTGCTACATCTGTTAATCAGCTTTCCTGTTGTTTGGAAAACGGGTTTAAATATTCATGGAAGCAGAAAAGTCATGCTTTTGTTTAAAATAAATTATTAAGCAAGCTGCCAATTTTTTTTTTTTTTACTTTGCGAACATAAAGTTAAACCTGAGACAACTGTGTTATAGTTGAAGAGTGTGTTTACAGTAATACCATCCCAGGTGGTATTTTTACATGGACATACCCCTTCATGGCAGTAATCTTACATTTCTGCATTTACAGGTAGAATCACTGAGGGATGTGGTCATAGTAATTAAGCAAAAAACTAAGCAAAGCCCCTTGATTATGGGGCTTCAGGCCCATGCCAAGAGGCTGTGCCGAGCATTTGGATCTCACTGTCTTTTTCCTGTTGCCATGAGTTACTGGTTTCCAGAGCCTTTCCCAAGGCTTCGCATTAGCTCCTTCGACTTCCTTTTTGAATTCTTTGGAAATGTCAGGAGAGATGGGAGAAGGCAAGGAGGAAAAAGGTCATGGTCCTTGTCACTGGAAATGGAGTTGATAACGCAGATAAAAGCAACTCCTGAGACTAGAGCAGCACTTTGAACACGGAATTCTTGGGCTGGAGGTGCAGCTCAGGGGTGCAGTATTTGCCTAGCACGAGAAGGCCCAGGGTCTGATCTCTAGCACCACACATACACCCAAACCAAACAAAACAGATCCTATGTCTTTTTTTTTATGATAATGATATCTTTGTTGGCCCTTAAACTTGTAGTGATAGCCTGATTTCCTTTACATGGAAAATCATTTATTTATATATTTTACTTTCGTTTCCTTGATTTAAATATGTTGAGTATGCTGGGCATAGTAACGCATACCTTTAGTCCCAGTACTTGGGAGGCAGAGGCAGGTGGATCTCTGTGAGATCGAGGCCAACCAGGTCTACATAGTGAGTTCCAGGCCAACTGGGGCTCCAGGGAGACCCTGTCTCAAAAAGCAAACATGAGAAGTAGACCTAACAGTGTTCAGGTGAAGAGTATTTTCATTGGTGAATGTAACGTTTATCCTAAATTATCATATATACCCTCCCCACAAAGCCATTTTATTTTTCAGCTTTTTACAAAGATGTCTGTTATATTTCACTTTCTTGGTGGAAGAAATTTTTGCAACAAACATTATATAAAAAGCAAAGAGTATCATGTAGCCCTTCACTGAAGATAGTTTTCCAAAGTCAGATACAGAATTTCCTTTCACATCCTTCAGTGTTTGTGAAGTCAAAGCCTATTTGCTAAGTAGTTGTCTAGTTTGTTATCGTGTTAGGTTCACATTTTTCCTTGGGGAAGTGCTGCGGAGGACTCATTCAGGTCAGAGTGCTGTGTGGGAAATGCTGCACAGTAAATGCAATCTGGCCTTTTACTGTTGGTTCATCTCAGGTGAACACATTTCTAGAGTAATCATAAGCCAAACTCATATATTTTAGATATGTTCACAATCGCAGCAAGCCTTTCTCATGGCTTGAGTGACAGTCTCAGTCTCATCTCACTGTCACGCCTGACTTCTGCTGGCCAGAGGCTTCCTTTCATGAACCCCCATGTCCTTGCCTCTGAATCTCCCCTTCTTATTAACCTAGCCCTTGTCAACAGCAAGGGCTGCCTGCCCCCTCAAGCTGACTTCTAATGAGTGACTTGACATATGAACAACTGTGCAAGCAAGGACTAGTCAGTGCTTCAAAGCAATGACTGGCGGGTATTTAGAGAGAAATGATACTGATCCAAGAAGAATCCTGCACCTCATTTAAAACCAAATGTAAGTCAAGGATCCCAGTGACTGTGATCAGCCCACAAGTGTGTAACTACGCCTACTAAAAAGAACTTAGCTGCCTGCCCAGATCCTCCAGCTTCAGCCAACATTGGAATCACAGTGCAGATGGGCGGGAAGAAATCACAGTGTAGACGGGGTGAAGGGCTGTATGCGGCCCTTCCAGAGTGACCCATGGACACAGAAGGGCTTCTTACCCGTCTGCATGCCCGTATGATTTGAAGGTAGGCTGTGAGCAGGACTTCTGTCTTCTTAGCTCTGAGAGCTAATACCAAAAGAAGAGGGGAGTGTGTCAACTGCTTTTCTTTCAATTTGTATATGGAAAAGTACTTTAAAAAAATTCACTGTGGAAGAAAAAAATGCACTGTTAAAGATATAGTGAGTTCGATCTTTGTGGTATCTATTTTTCTGCACTATATGTATGTATATAGACACTTTGTTTCCCTTGCTCAACATGTTTGAAAGTAAAAAGTAATCATCACTTTTTATGTGTGCAATTGTTATATAAGGAGCAAAGTTTGGGCTAGGTAAACAATTAAATATATAAATGTTAACCAAATCTCTTTGAAGGTATTGTAAATATTGGAGTTTTATTGCTTTGAAAGTATCAGTTTTCCACACTTGGAAGCCTGAAAGCAAGTTCTTGTTACCTGATATTTATGGGTGGAGAACGGTGCTGAAGGAACAACACTTTTCCTGAGGACTGAGGCCAGGGAAGAAAAGCTGGAGTCGTTTCTCTTCATCTCCTTATTTATGTTTGCCTGTTTTATGGTCAAAGGACCTTTGTCTGGTTTATGGTAGGCATTGCCAGGTTGTCGTCTGTGGGTTTTGCCCGATGCTTCAGGACAGGCAGAGGAAATGACCAGCGTCGGGCCCCTCTCATCTGCTGTACTGATGGGTGTTTTTGATTTCAGGAATATCCAAGACAGATCCTTCCTCAAAGTGTACAACAAGGATCCTTCACACGCGTTTAACCACATGCCAAAAGCTGTGAATGGAGACCTGAGGGTAAGCCCTGCTGTCCAGCTCCGGCTCTCTTGTGGATTGTACCATTCCTTCCTCTCACACCCCATCACCAGTTTCCACAGGTTCACACAGCTCATCTTGTCCAGTGACTCACCATCTGCTCGGCTCTAGAACAATAAAATTTCCTGGTCACCTGGGGCGCAGGGATTAGAACAGGGCTGGTTCAACCATAATTCATCTCTAAGTACTGAGCTTATTTTTAATTTTTATTTATTTACTTGTTTATGTTGGTGGTGCTTGGGATTGACTACAGAGCCTGTCAAATGTTGTACAAGTGCTTTTCGCCTGGACTCTATCCCCAGCCCCAACACAGAGCTTTGATACATCTTTACTCCAAATAAATCCTGGAAGCCTTCACATAAAAGCGTCCTTGGCACTTAATACATTAGCCTACCTACAGAATTTATTTTGGTGTTTTCATCTGGTAGAAACAAACAAAAGTGCACACGTTGCACAGCAAACAGCACCCGCTCTTGAGTTAGTTCTCCCGTCCAGCATTCTCATCCAGTCAGTTACCTGCTGACTCAGGGCTGCTTGCTCTTGTCCTGTATCAAATATTACCAAATCTTCTGAACCACATTGAAGGCAGAATACAAACACGTACATGATTGGGGAGCTAAAACTCTCTAGACTTAGGTCATCTCAGAAGATCATTCAGATAATTACAATACATAGAGATATTTTGAAAGAAAAAGAACAGGAAAACTAAAAACAGCAGATTCATAAGATGACATTAATATGAGTCTCCTGGGAGGGGCTGAGTTCCTGACAAGAATACTACATTCTTCTGAAGTAAAAATAAGGGAAGGGGATAAAAAATTAACTTCCCAATCTGCATCCCCCTTCTCAACACGTACGTACAAAGGTGTGTGCGCAGACTCAAGACACTAGAGTTTAACTTTAAAACAAAAAGAATGTCTTTTGCTGCCAAAAAAATCTAGACTTGCATTACTGGTCCTGAGTGAGGTGCCCTCTGCTTCCCAATAGTGTGTATGAGAGTCCTCTTGCTACTATAACAAATGATAGCAACTTTATTGGCTTAAAACAACATGTATTTATGGCCTTACATTTCTAGAGTCTATAGATGACATGAATCTCACTCACAGGTCTGAAATAAGGGATGACTAGACAGCTTTCAGTCTTTTCTGGAAAGTCCTCTCCTCCCCTCCCCTCCTCTCCTTTTCTCTTCCTCCTCTTCCTCCTCCTTTCCCTCTACTATTTTCTAGAAATCACCCATATTGATTTGTAGTCCCATCTTCAATCCCAATAAAATGCCATCCCCCTAGTCCTGCTTCTGTAGTCACACCTCCAACCTTTCATTGTGTGCTCTTAAAGACACTTGTGATTACAGCAGGCCTACCTAATACTCTAGAAAAATCTCACTGTTTTCAGGTCAGCTGGGCATCTACCTTACTGTCCCTTTCCCGTATAGCCTAACGTAGTCACATGTGCAGGGGGCAAACATGCATAATATGTGGAGAACTCCAGTTCTATCTTCCACACAGGGCATGTGAGTTTAAAACCATGAGGTGCAGGGGTCCTTGTGAGTGTGCTGGAAATTTTTCCATAAATTTCTGGATTGTAATGTAAGTCATGGCATAGTGGGACCAGCGTCTGCCCTTTTGAAGGGAAAGACCTCGTTAATTTGTAAAATGCTGTGTGATGTTACTAAAGGCTGTGATGATGTTACTTTAGAAAATCTAGTGTTTTGAGGCTTGCTTTTAGCCAGTTACACATTAAATGTAAACCAGAGCCATGTGAAGACAGTGGGCCATGCCACTCATGGATCTTGGGTGCACATTATGAGACCTTGGCTTTGTGTGAGTCTGCTCAGTCTGGGGAATGTTCATGTGCTCTGCCCCCTTGGAGAACTTTATTGTCGATGTGTCTAGCCTTCTAACTGCAATTCTCCCACACTCAGAGCTATTTCCATAATGTAGAGCTATTTGCCACACAAGCACCCCACAATTCCCTCTTAGAATCCTGTTTATAGCCAGGGAGGACACCTGTTTTGACTCTTAAGCAGATGTGGCGCCTACATAGGACCCACCGTGAGGACCAGGAACATTAACCATCTGCATGAAGCCTATTAAATGCATACGTTTTGCTACGGATTTTAGCAAAGGGCTTCTGCTCCTGCTCATTGGTGAAACACAAGTGATCCCTTTCTGAGGTGCCCACAGCCTACTTTAGACTGTAGTTGTTTGTGTGAGAAAATCAGCCATTGTCTTGAACTGTGGGACAAATGTTCATCAACTAACAGAAAAGCTTTGGTGTTATCATGCCTGAAGTTTGTAACATGGACTGTTCTCCTAGATTCCAGAAATTCAAAAATATGGAACCCTCCCAGCTCCCCCTTTCACAGCTGCATACCTGTGAAAGGGCTGGGAGTTCTCCCGAGCCCTGCCCGAGGCCCAGTTGTGACACCCTGCTCTTAGTGAAGAACAGAAAGAGGGAGCCGAGCTAGGATCAATTGTCCTGCAGACTAAACGAAGCTGCACGCTACATCCTCTGATATGTCTCAATGTGCATGTGGCCGTGAAGGCATTCCAAGGCTTCCACTCACATGTCAGTCCCTGCCACGTTGTCCCTCATGCCTTTAGATGTCACTCACCAGCCCTCATCTGTGTATGAAAAAAGACATGAATTGGAATAGGCAGGGAGACCACCTTACAATGCTAGGATTCTGCGGGGGCCTCAGACATTTTGCTTAAGCAAGGACTTTAATACCTTGCCTTTGAGTTTGGAGAAATGTAAAGCTGTGGATCTAAAATTTACAGGCGTTTCTCCCAGAACAGTTTTATGATAGAATGCTGTTCTCCAGGAAACAAGTGAGACCAAAGTATTAAGTCTGAGGTTATGGGCCTCCAAATGTCCATGGAATTTATGCTTTTCACTTAACATCAAGCTGAGCATTGCTGAGGCTTCTCTGCATAATGAGACTTATTCTTCTTGGCTAGAACTGAGCCTACCCAACTGGACTCCTGACTCTGCTGATTCTTTCCCTGTGGGTGAAAATCACCCTGATCTAATTCAGTCACATGGCTTTTGTTCCTTACATCGGGTAGATTTGATCATTCGGTTCCCAAGGGACTGGCCTCACCATGTGGAGCAGGCCCTTCTGCATGAATTATATATGCGCACGCAGCATGTTTGGTCACAACCTCTACATTCCTCAAAGGTCAGCCATTCCGTGTTGTGGCTCTCAGTAAGGTCCTAGTCACTAAGCCCAGTGGCTTTCTCATCGTTTGGGGCTTCTTGTGTGTGTTGACGTTACTTCTCAAGGTTCTCTGCTCTCACCATGAAATGCTGTCTCTTTGCCTACTGTGGATCTTACCCATGTGTCTTTCATTTTTATGCAGACAATGGCTAGATTTGCATTTAGGACACACTGCCCAGAATTTGCCCTGCATCTTAAATTAACTGCTAATACCCACGTCGGTTGCTGCTTCCCAGCCCTCTTCTGTTTGAACTTTGTGTTTGACACTGAGGAATGATGTCCTTAGAAACCAATGGCTTCCATTCCTCACCATGGCTAAACACAGTCTGGCATCTTTATTCACCAGACATTCCCTTATTCCCAGGTGGCATCAGTATTTTCAGGCAGGTTTTTACCAATTTTGAGCTGTTTAGGTTTTATTTTGGTTTCTTTGGATTGACTCTTTTAGTTTGAACTTTCCACTTATTTTATCAGACCACTAATTTACCATTTAAATACTGTATCTGTGTGAGTGAACCTTGAACCTGATCCCTAGATTCATGATCTCTATAAGAGATCAAAACCCAAATGTGTAACTTCTAGGCAGTCATCTTTACACTGATATAATTTTCCAACATTTTCTACTATATACTATTGAAGAAAAAAGTTTCCTGATTCGCTGTCTTTGAAGGATGAGGTGTCTGTGTGTATGTGTTTGGGGATAGGGGACGAGAGCTTGAATATCTTGCGTCGCCAGTCATTCCTTCTCTTCCCTGCCACGTCCTTCCATCAGTCATGAGCCCTCACGTCCCTCACAAAGTCTCTCACAGATGGCCCTTCAGCCATTGGCTGGGCTAGTATTCTTGGAAGAGCTAACTAGTGAGCTTTTATTAGGCACTTGTAGGCATAATTTTATTTAATCCTTGAGACAAAATTTGAATCAAGCATTGGTACAAGCCCACATATTTATAGCTGATGAAACAGTTGCTTATTTTGGGAAACTTTCCCACGGCTGCTCGGCTGGAGAGATGGCTGCTGTTGCATGCCGGTGGCTGGTTTCTTGGCCAAGCGCCTTAGCTTGGTTCCTCTGCTGTAACTACAGCACTCACATCTCTTCACCAACCTCCTCTCGGTCCTTCCTGTCCATACCAGTGTCTCCAGTTCCAGGTGTCTGCCTGCCATGGCCCCCAAAGTCATGGCAGTTACAGATGGATCGTTAGGAAATTGGGCCTAGTGGAGGGTGATTGGGTCACAGGGGAACCACCTCCTAAGGGAGTAGTGTAGTTTCCCCAAGACTGGCTAGTTATAGCATCTGTGGTTACCATAAAGTGAGGCCACCCACATGCTTGGCATCTCCCTCACATGGCCATTTCCCATCTCTTCCTCTGCCATGTTGCCGCACAGCTTTCCCCTCACCAACCAGTCACCAGCACCATGCTATGTGGACTTTCTAGTCACCAGAGTGGTGAGCCAAAAAACCTCAGGTATTTTGTTACTGCAACCCAAAGGAGACTAACATACTGGCTTTCGAGGTCATGCTCCTTTAGCATACTAACAGACAGTTGTCTGATTCCGTCAACAAACTGCTGACATAAAAATGCTGTTTTAAGGTTGTGCTGTAGAGCCATGTGGGCTTCAGTACGTGGATCCTGAGAACAAATCATTCACTAAAAAATATCTTTAAAGCTATTTGGAAAATTCCAACATGTGTTAGGAATTAGAAGATATTAGGGAAATACCTGGTAATTCTATGGGGTATAATAGTAGGTTGGTGGTTTAAAAA